ACAACATCTCATAAAACTTCACGACGTTGAAATGTTTTTCACAATGGCGATATATTTTTCCTCATTCATTGCATCAATACATGTTTTTGTACTGTTTTATTCCGGTAAAGTATCGGCTATTGTTGTAAAATCCGATTTACTTGCTATGTTTATGTTAATCCTATTTGTTGATGCTTATGTATTACAAACTATGTGCGAGTACACCATCGATGCTTGTAACACGTTTGCTGAACTTTTAGGTCAGATTGATGAAGTTAATACCTGTGAGAATCCCGACTTTCTAAGAATGGTAAGTAATGAAGTTTCTCCGGGAATATGTGAGTAATATTTTCTTTTATTTGTACTTTTAGTGTGAGTCCTTTGCTTTGGAACTTTCTTGCCGAAAACTGTCCTTCAAATTATTCGGAATGTTTCGCATAAACAAACGACAGGCATTCAATATGGCAGTCCAAATCAGTTTCTATGTTGTGGTCTTACTTCAATGTGATTACATGAATTTGTAGATTTTTTAAGAAATTACAGAAAAAAATTGCAAGAAATAAGAGGTCTCTCTAGCAATATTGATATAAAATATTTTACAACTCTTAATGTTTTAACAACAATTAACAGAAAAAAAAAAAATTTAATAATGTTGATAACTTTCTTTTTATTATATTTTTTAATAGTAATAAATAATATTATAATAAGAACTTCTTAGATCAATTTTAGATTAGTCTTTATCAAACCATGTATCTACTTTGGACTAGAGAAATCTTTGAAATCCTAAGTAAAGGCAGAAAAATGAGAATTCTTACATGACTGGCTAGATCGCACTGATCTTATTTTATGTCTGGCGCATCCTAGGCACAAAAGAAGTCGGTGCAATTATAATTTTAAAAATTTCCATAACACATACAATTGATAGTAAACACTATATTGAAACTTTTGCTCATTTAACTATTTATAGTCCTCTATGGTCTAACTTGGACTAGAAGGAGGATGCCAAGGTGGAAGCCCTGTCCCCGTCACAAACTAGAAATTTCTTAACGAAAAACATTTTGCCTTTCAATTATTCTGTTCAGATACGGTCGTTGATAGAATAGAAGATCTTTTAATATTGAAGTACATTGATGCAAACAGATTTTTTCACGGTATTTTACAGTCGGTACAAATATATGTGTAACTCAATCATTTATATGTAATTTATTAGATCCAAAACAGAAATGAGACTTTTCCGTTAATTTAAAAAAAAGTACTTAAAAAAAGCACAAAAAAGAGAATAGTTTACGATAAATAAACAAAAAAATTTTCTTTTCTAAATTTTTTTATTTTGCTTAGCTATATAGGTAGTACCAAAAACAAAATTATTACACGATTTAAAGTTCTTCAGAATATATAGCAGAATAAGTTCCTTTCCTTTTTTATTGGCGACTTAAATTTTATTGAATATAAACTTAAGATTAATGTATTTAAGGTAGAGAAAATATATAATTATCAAAAAAAACGAAATGGTGAATAAATAGTCATAGCTAAGGACGGAATATGAAGGTTCTGGTCCTCACTAAAATCCAAAGAGCAACAACAGAAGAAATTAACTAAAATGATGTAATGCCAATATATACAGACAAAAAATCGGAGAACTCATGAAACGAAATGCCAAAATATAAGATCCACACTTTTTAGTGGCTTATAGTATGTTTCCACTGTTTACTTAGTAATTTCAACTCACTAAGCAAATTTCATTGACCATACGTCAATGAAATACGTACTTTCTAACTTACTTAAAAATAAAGTAAGGAAAATTAAATCAAAAGTGTTGAATGCAAATTTTAAAAATAAATTTCCCACAAGGGAAATAACCAAAATATTTGTCATATGTTTTGTATGTAAAATGTAAACAAACAACAGCTGTGCAGCAAACAAACGTAATAAAAAAGTAAGTATTTAATAAAATCTTTGTTTTTATTTATTGAATATGTAATAGATTTATAAAATATAAATATATACATGATTTAATATATCAATTATTTACTTAATTTTTTATCTGATATGTTATTAAGTAAAATTTTTTTAAAGAAACAAAAGCTCTCTTAAAACTTTCAAAGAACTTTTAAACACATAAAAGCCATTTCACAAGTAATAAATAACTTATGTCAATGGAAACAACAAAACTCTAAACCTAATTAAGTAACTTACTTAGTAAACAGTAGAAATATAGTATTTTTCAAAATCCCATGTTCTTAAAGAACTTAAAGGAATCGCTTTATTCTATGCTATATAATAAAATCGCTATATTCTCTTACATGATTACTTTATCGCAAATGTAAAATATTTAATAAGAATTCTTAAATAGTTATTAAATATTGAAAGATATATTATTAAAGATATTATTGGTACTATTAGTCAAGTTTAATGTTTCACCCCAATTAGTAATTTAACAATATGCTTTTTTGCATGACTCTAATCAATAAACACTAACACCAAGACTGAAGATATATGAATGAGAATAGAATAACAAGTTTCTTGAAAGAATTGGAATATCTATTGTAATTACGAACCACTTTAGTACCGCGTATAAGAAACCAGTCTCGTATAATTTTACATTTTAACAGATACATAAAATATTTACGCATAAATTTCACACCTCATGGTTGACTAGAAAAATTTCACAGATCTCAGTCGTATAGCATAGAACTTTCAAACCAAATGCAGATAACGTAGATATTAAAAACTAAAAACTAAAAACTGTTTTTAATGTTGACTTTATGGCAGTTTTTAATTAAAATTATAATTGCTCAAAGCTAATGAACAACATAGCGTATAAGTAATATTTTTCAGCAATTTTAAAAAGATTTTCTTTGTTTTACTGCTTAAAAACACCGAACTTATAAATATTCCATTTCCGCTTTCATGTTTACAGATAAAAAGTCTATTTCGCCTAGAGCTGGTCTTCATGTTCTTACCTAAAAACAAACAGATACTACATGCATATTAATATTATGACTTCGGAATGAATAGAATTTTTAAGTAATTCAGTATAATTTTATTATGGGAAATGAATTTTCAGAAGCTTAAATCAGATACTGAAACAAAGCATTTCAACAGAAATTGTTTGATGTTTTTTCTTTTCGTATTTAGAAGATACATTTTTACTATATACTCGTAGTTTTGAATGGGTAAGTCATGAGAGAAAGCAATAAAATGATTTGTGTCAGTGCAAATAATTGGTGTTCATTAAATAAATTATTCGGTGATTACATTATTTACATGGTTATAACCTAAGATATGATTAGGAAAGAGATAAGTAGTTAAACTATAAATTTGTAGATTATAAATAAAGTTGGAAAATTTCTATAAAATTGCTATTAATAAAACAATTAAAAATGAAAAATATTAAAAATAAATCAAAACTTTTAATTTGCTTAGAAAAAACAATATCTGCACATTATATTACTATGAAAAATTACAAAAATTAATGAATAAGATACTTTAACTTGTTTTAAAATATTTTTTTTCTTTTATGTATATGTTCATGTAAAGTAAAGACAAGTAATTCATAGTTGATCAATTGTCTACCATAGACATTATGCTGTTTTGTGGCAGTAATCTCCTGTCTAAAATGTACTGTTGGGACGCTTTTGTCCCAACTTTTGCGCTTAAGCTCACTATATAGTTTCATCTTTATCTCAACTATAACTGAAAACATTATCTTTTGATTGCTATTTTTATTATGCACAGCTGAAAAAAATTGCAAAATATTCGTACTATAACTATAAAATAGAGTTTTACTATAAACTGTTATATAAAAAATATATTCTTATAACGAATTTTAATCCTTTTCTGGCCAAAACAATTATTAAAATCATTTCAATGGCGAAAGACCAAGTACTCCAGTTCCTTATTCTTAGTTAACTTTAAAATTAATAAATATTTAGAATTATAAATATTTATTCTTTCATTTTTAATATTTACCATATTTATTTATAATAATTAATTAATTCTTTATAATATTTATTTATTTATTTTCAACATTTATTTAATATATTTATATATTTATTTGTAATATCTATTTATTTACTAATTCATTTATTTGTAATATTTATTTATTAACTTATTTGATTATAACAATTATTTATTTATTTAAAATATTTATTTTTTTATTTATATTTATTTATTTTAATATTTATACATAATATTTATTTATTTATTTATAATATTTATTTATTTATTTATAATATTTACTTATTTATTTATAATATTAATTTATTTATTTATAATATTTATTTTCTCATTTAATAATAATAAATAATGATATTTATTTATAATATTTATTTATAACATTCATTTATAATAATATTATAATAATAATGATAATATTAATTTACTTATTTATAATATTTATTTTCTCATTTAATAATAATAAATAATGATATTTATTTATAATATTTATAACATTTTTTTATGATATCTATTTATTTATTTATAATATTTATTTATAACATTTATTTTTTTATTTATGATATTTATTTATTTATTTATAATATTTATTTATATATAACAATTATTCATTTATTTATTTATTTATTTATATATATATAATGTACATATTTATATATTTTCTATAAAAAGTAAAGATTTTTGTTCGGTGATTCTGTTAAGGAAAAGAAAAGAAGAATCGAAATGGGAGTATTTTGAAAAAAGAACAAGTCCAATTACTGTACTAGTAACCAATTACTATACTACTAAGTATACTATAGTTAGTAGAAATATATAACACCAAATTTGTTTTCGCTTCTCTCCAATTCTTGAGTTACGATGGATGTGCACCCAGGTCAAATAGATTTCATAAAGTAATTCAATTATTTAGATCTTTGTCTCCAAAGCACTTGTTTTACTTAATACAAATTTTTAATCAAAGAATTTATGTCAATATTTATAAGCCTAAATTTGAGTTGTTGAAATACTTGATAAATATAAATTTTTTTTAAAACATATAAAATATTTTTTAGTCTTGTTAAGTTTAAAAAATTTCTTTTGGAAAAACTTAAAATTTTTGGCAATGAGCAGCAAAAAGCTTAAATTTTAAGTTTAAAAATGAATCGCTTACGATTGTTGCTCGCTTGCCTCCGTCTCGCAAAATTGACTTTCATCATAATTGGCATGGTTTTATTTCCGTTGATTTGGGGTATCTACAGTTTTGCTATGGTTTTGGAATTTCATTCGGTCTATAACAACAACGCATATTCCTTCGACCAGAGGAAACGTATTTATATGAAGTATCTTTTGGCCATAGCTATTGGATACCTTGCATTCCTTACATGGAAGTATCGAATGAATAAATTCTATTTACTACGCGGACAATTTTGGGAATCATGCGAGAATTTAATGGATGAAGTTTATGGATACAACAAACGTCGTTGGAATACTGCAGGCGCGGTATGTAAATTAAGATTTAAATTTTAATTGCAAAAAAAATTTTTGTTTGTAGGTCCGACGTAATAGAGCTTCACGGCGTGATCCTCAAAACCCTGCAGATTATAGTGCTAGAGTTCAGCAGACTCAAAAAAGGAAACAGAAAAAGCATTCAATTAAACGTAGCCAGAGACTCAGTGGTCAAAAATTCTCATCCGTTAAGAAGAGAACTAAACACTAAAGCAAGTTCGGTGGCAAGCTCATTTTACTTCAAAATTCGGAAATTCGATTACCTCTTCGAAACTGTGAGAATATTTGGAATGAATACATTTTGATGATAACATTTCTGAAGTCCTAAATTCTAGTAATTTATTTTGTGGTTTATCTAAATTTTACTGTTATACACTTCAATCTCTTTAGTTTTGACATAACTTCAATCACTGCCAATAAATTAAATAGTTCAAATTCCATAACTCAAAATTTTTTCTTGACTTTTATTTCGAATATTTGATTACTTAAACTTCTGTCTATTGTATGAAATACATTAGTATGACTTTCTCCGTATTATGTTCCTAGTTTAGGTTTTATGCACAAGATAGAATAATTTAAAATCATTTAACAATTAACAATTAAATTACTTCAATTATACTATAGCTGGTTTATGATTTTGTTCTAGTCTAACACAGCAACTAAATTAACGGAAATTAAAGTCAAATATGGCTTTGGATAAGTAAGCGAATGAACACTTACTCTTAGCTTCAATTTTAGCAGGGTACAAGATGAACCCTTGCTACTTGCAAACTCAAAAAATTATTTACGAATTATAAAATATAAGAATTAACTCCAAGACCACTGATGATGGATATTTGGCAATATTCGAAACAACTGTATGGTTAGCCAAAATTTCAAATAATTAAAATATTAAAATTTTTGTTGTTGTAGTTTACTACTATTCGAAAGCTCTCCATTCAATTTAATCTTAATTCAAATATCCTCTCTCTCATTTTTCTCTTTATTTTATAATATATTTTATTGTAAATATTAATAAATAGTAATAGAGAATATAATATATTTTAGTTTATAATATAATTAATCGACCTACTACCTCGAGGCTTTACATATAGAGATTTTATATACTTATTAAGATTTTAGTATAAATTATTGTAAAAAAAAAATTTCAATGTTATATTTGAAGATTTTGCACTTAATAGAAACGTCCTATAATTAGTTAACCAAACTGACTTGGACTTTATCTAAGGAATAGAACATGGTTGAAACGAAAAAGGAATAGGACATTTGCTCCGAAATAACATTTACAGTTTTATTTAAAAAAATCGCCTACTCGATATATGGACCATTTATACAGCAGTAATACGAACCATAACAAGTAATATAAATTTTTTAATATAACACTACCTTTTGTCAAGACTTAGAAGGACTTAAAAATAAATAATTTTGATAAAAGTCTAGTCTGATTATTGGAATGAAGTTTCCTCAATACTGAGGAAATCTTCTCCATTAATTTCTAAGAATGAATGGTTTTAGTGGGTTCAAGTCTCACACTGTGGCTTTCGATGCTTCCCACCTACTGCAAAAAAAAAACTTAATTTAACATTATCGCCGTAATTTTATTATCCTCCGGAGAAATTATGAACGTATATATTTATTTCTGCGTCTCTCCGACCTATTCAGTGATTTGTATTGGCCCACGAATGTATCTGGTCTGGACAGTTCTGATTTAGATAATAAAATGCCAATTGAGAGACATCCCGATATGTAGATAAATTAAACAGTTAAATGCTATCCTGTAGTTTGACAAAGATATATGCTTTGTCTTCGTCCACCGCTTTGGCTATATCAATTTGACTTTTTATGCTGATGTTAATAATTATTTAATGATGTTAATTAATTGACATTTCAATACTAACAATTAAAAATATTTAGGATTTTTTAATTCTAGTGATAATTTTAAGTGAAAAATGTTAAGGACCACTTAATAGAAATTCGAATTCCCTGATGCACCGCTGTTGAATAAAGGACACGCAGTTCCGACAAGTAAAATACTCATTTTTTATGGATTAACCATAAACAAAAGTAGGAGTTCTTTAATTAAAGGAAACCTCAAATTGATTATGTTGACTGAAGCCCAACAATTACCACCAATGACTTGCTCAAAACAACAACAATAACAACAGTAATCATAATAAAATAACAACAAGTGTAATAATAATCGTAATAACAACAAACAAAATAGCCGAGACCAATAAAATTCCTTCATTAAAATACGTAATTAAATACGAAGCCTAGGCGCTTAATTACTGACTTATTCCCGAATTATGTAGTGAAATGTTGACCTTAAAAGGAAAAGAACAACAAATGAAAGTGAACAAATAAACTCGTTAAAGAAATAATAGAAAATTTGAGCTAAAGTTAAAGAACGGAAACTAAAAGAAAAATTGCAATTAAGCATACGAGCTGGCCAATATGTCGGAACATAAGGGAAAGATAGGCGCCATTTTTGTAGAAAGTGCGCTACAAGCCGTCAATATAGACAACTGGATTCCAAAAAAATTAAATTGATTTACGAAAGTAAGAATAATAAATTAAGTGTAGTACATGTTAAGTGCTTAATACAATTAGCCACCAACAATAGTGAGTATATCCACTGAAATTTAACAAATTCGTATACTGAAATTGTGGTAATATTAAGAGGAAACTTGCTGATTAAAAAAGGATGGCACATATGATTACATCAAAATAAATCAAGTGATATAGCTAAACACTATTAAAATATTTTCAAATTGTCAACGATTTGTTGATTTATTTTTCTGGTAGTTATATTGCGAACTATTATATTGTATTTAAATATAGTAACTCTTATAACAGTCACTTGCTTCATATTTTTCTATGTTCAACTCAGCTCGTCGCAATTATTAAATAACATCGCACCGATCAAATACTTAAAAAGCTCTTACTAGACTCCTGCAAAAATTCTTATCAGTTTTCTGTCACACTCTAAGTGAACCTTAGTAAACTCATAATTTTGCTATAGTAAACCCTTACTCATAACACTGAAAAAAAATCTGTAAGTACTGTTTTCCATTGAAAGAAAGTTAATTATAATTATTAATTATAATAAATCAAATAATTAATTTAATTATAATTATTAATTATAATTAATTATATAATTAATTTAATTAGAATTAAAATATTCTTGCGCAAAAAGTGCTTATAAGATAGTAAAGTATTAATATATAAAAAATGAAAACTAAATTACTTAAAAAATAAAAATAAAAATAATGGAGGGGTTTCGAACAGCACTGAATTGCAACAACAAATATTTTATTTACTTTTAATAAATTAAACAATTAATTCGAAAGCAACCTGAAACTGTTCGAAACCGCTTTATTAAATACAATAGTTTCTATTAAGTAAAATAATTGACGTAATAATCAGATTTAATAAAAAAATAATATGTATAAATAAATGATAAAAATGTTAAAAACATTAAAATATTAATAAAAAATAATATAAAAAGATTCTATAAATATATATGTAACTAATTTATTTACAAACTAAATAAATTGGAACCACTACGTTTTCTAAACAATTTCAAATACGGAAAAGTGGACTAAACCTGGACTTAAACTATTTGAAAAAAAACTTATTCTAAAAGATTAGAGATTTCTTCATTGAGCGTTTTACGTCCTATATTTCGGTGCATGCCAATAAAGACCCTCCTTACTACAAACGATTTTTTTTTGTTCTAGACCAAAGTATTATTTTCTGAATTTATATCATTTAACTGGAAATCACGTTGTATATCTATCATAAGTCGTAAGTAAAGTACGAGAAAATTTGAGACTTCATAATAATACTTTCATTGAAACTTAACATACCCATTAAATCTGTAGTTCGAGCAGCTACACGGCTTAGTGGTAGTGCCATCAAGTGGCGTATGCTGGAAAACATACAAATGAGCACACTTTAATAGCCTATTAACAAAAATATGTCAAGACATTAATTAGTTTTTCATGTCATCTCCAAACAAATAAAATTTATGTTACATGTTGCCTTAAAGAGAGCGACAGCCAAATAGACAAATAGGTTGGAGAATTGAAGATAGAGGACAGTACACGGATACCTTCGCACATACATGTATGTGTGTTTGTATGTGCGATATTTAAGACATATTTCATACTTAAATTAGAGGAAAACTGAACAAAGAATTTTATTTAGGAATATCAAATACCAGATATCCCCATGATGGTCATATTAATGCTGGGCGCATACAAAGATTTTATAAGTATTTTGCCTACAGCTTACGAGTACACGAGTTGCGCAAGTGGAGAGAGGTTTTCGCATTGGGTGAGATTGTCAAACAGCACTCGTTAAATGATGTAAGGGGTGAAGTGAAGCATGGAATCTGGAATATGTGCCAGAAAGTTAATGAATGTGTATAACTTATGTAATTAATTTATGTACATACACAGCACGCACATGAGTCAAATAATATACTGTGAGTAACAGAACAGACTGTCCAGAAACGTATGAGGTTTCATTAGATGTGAATGAAAATGGATAGCATATATGAAAAGAAAGTATGGAATTATGGAAAATTTGCTAACATTTTTGTAAAGGTGCCAAAATTTTGCTGGTATGTGTATTTGAAAAATATTCTCATCTAAAATATTAGAGATGTTCATGAAAAAACTCACATTAAATTGTGAAGTAGTTTAAAGTATGAAGTCCAAATCAAGTTAGTAAATTTTGTATATACCTTAAAAATTTCAATGCTTTACCATATATACAATTTTCTTCGTTAATATCATTTCCTTTAACTCATCCATTAGAATTTACTTAATTAAGCAATCATTCCACAGAAGGCAGAAATTATAATAATTTGATTTTGCAGTTGCTTTCTCTTACATTTTCCGGACACGTAATTATACCATTTTGCATGATGGACTCGAAGCTCAAAATCCACAAATGGATTCACTTTCGTACTTTTTTGTTTGTAATTTATTTGCTTGTTTTAGCTTTCCACTTCCTACTCCACACATTTCTAAATACGGACGTATGTATGCCAAATCCAATCAAAATTTCATCTTCAATTTCCATCGTATGTTCAGGAGGTTGCTCACTACTGTGGTCCTCAGCTTTTAATACGATTCCATGTTGTTCTCCATGCATACACAGCAGCAATGAAACTGAACCAATTTAATTACAATTATAGTTCAGTAAGCAATTTATTATCAGATATTGGCATGGTAGAGACCATTATGCTCTTAGCACTTCTATTCGAACACAATTTTTTATTAACAGATTTTGCAAAAAAATATCAAAATTGAAAGCAAAGAACTGAAATACATGAAGAAGATAAAACGGGCAATAAGGAATAATTATCATAAAAATATTTAAAAAAGTGCCAAACAATCTATTTCTAAATACAAATTTAAAGACATTATGCACT